AACTTTCTATTTTGTGTGTTTGGTTTTGAGGGTCTGGGGGGAGGTATGTAGATATCCTTGGAGTTTCTCCAAATTTAATGAGTCTAATAATACATTTAAAATATGTTTCATCCAAGACCAAAATGTATTGCAGCAGGAGCGTCCTTTGAGTAGCAATTTTGGATATTAGTCAGAATGGCTACACTACCTCATTTCTCTCAACAGTCCTCAAGATAAAGAGTTTTGTTTTCAATGGACAGAGGGAGGTTTAAGTAATTAAGGTTACATAGCTCATAAGTAGCAGAACTTACTGACACTAGAATTTGGAAACACGTCTGTTTACATAGTGGTGAAGAACACAGCTAAGACCTATGTTCTTCACCACTATGTAATTTTGCCCTTTAGACAATGAACTTCATACATCTCCCTGTCTGAGGGACATCTCTTTTTCCATCTGCTATTTGCTTCCTCTAATTCCCTCCTAATTCTCTGATATCACTGCAGATGTTAGACTGAATCATTTTCAACAACTGCCAAGGCTTGAGTGAACACCAATACACAGCTCTGAGTTTGGAGAGAAAAGAAAAAAGAAGTCAGACAGCAGAAGAGATGGAAATTTTAGGAACACAATTTGATATAAAACTCTGAAGAGAAATTGCTATGAATTTCTTAGACCCAATTTACTTTCCTTAGAGCTCAAATTATTTTTTTTTAAAAAAAACAATGAATATTGGCTCCATTCTCTTCCAGTTGTATGGGGATAGATGGCTCAGGTTCTACTTGACATCAGGAAACTCAAGATACATATCTCATATCAAGTTCTCCTAGTGAATTAAAGGTTCTGCATGTACAAAGTTTGAAAGGTTAATTCCACTATGATTTTTTTACTCCATTATCATAATTCAGCCATTAGCCTTCCAAATTCGCACCAACTTCTTAGAAAAGAGTAACTGGAGTTTTCCTAGCGATCATTCCACTAATATTATTTTGAACTACTTGTCACTAAAACAAAATTCATCTCAGCAGCTCAAAAACTGTTTTAACTAAATTTTTTTTTAAATCACTGAATTTTCTGTGTCTTGCTGTGTAATCCAGGCTGGCCTCTAACTCATGATCCTCCTGCCTCAGCCTCCCAAAAGCTGGAATTACAGGTGTGAACCATTGTGCCTGGCTTAAATTTCCTGTTAACAGACAATTCAAACCAGAAATTCAGGTTGGGGAAGATTTTAAACTATATATTTCATGTATTCACTCATTCCATAAACATACACTGTGTATTTTCTGTATGCTAAGCAATGTGCTGGGTTCAAAGGCATAGGTAAAAGATCACTGGCCCAAACCTGCTTGTCTAAATTGTTTCCTTTACTGTGCCTGGAAGGACACACATATATCAGACTCGTTGCTCTTAATAAGCAGGTGCAAGTAACACCTTTGAAAATGAATTCTTAATGCCTGAATAGGATAGTCCATTATGTTTCAGCTTTTATTTTTTAAATGGGAACTTGTCCAAATATGTATCATCCCTGGGAAAATCATGAACTCATGATTTGGGGAAAATGGCTCACTGAATTGTCAACTCTATTGACAGCTGAATTGTCAACTCTATTGACAGCTGAGAAATAAGCTTTGGGAACTCTAATCACTACGTTCTGTTACCATAGAACCCAGTGGAGACCAGTGAAGTTTAACCCTTTTGTGAGTGGTGGAGCCTGTAGAACATCTGATGGAAAGTCCAGCCATGCACTCACATGAAAAGTTTCCTCCATTTCAGGAGGCCTCCCTGGAGTTCACAAGGACCTTCCATAGAAGGGAGGACCACTGGCATGTCTGCTGACTGAGAGCAAATGCACAACTTGAGTCTCACCTCATTCAATTTTGTCTTCCATGGCAGAGTAAATCTCAAAACTACTCAGTGAATGAGTGAACTCTGTTCTTGTAAAGCTCCCATCTCAATCTTCTTTCTCCTCACAAATTCCCACATTCTCATATACACACTTTACTTGACAGTTCAAAGGGCTCTGCCAGCTGGGTGTGGTGGTACACACCTGTAATACCAGTGTTTAGGAAACTGAGACAGGAGGATCAAGAGTTTGAGGCCAGCCTGGGCTACATAGTGAGAGCCTGCCCCTCTCTCCCAAAATACCAACACTCCCTATTTTCCAAACTCTGCATACATACTTTTCTTTTTTCCACCTCACAAAAGAAATCTCTACTTGCCATTATCCCAAATATTACAATGATGTATTGAGATACAAGATAAAACCCACCAGGCCACCAAATGAAGAAATGCTTCCAAATAGCTTCTTGGGAAACATCTTCTTTAAAAGGGTGGGGTGGAGAAGAGGAATGTCTCTAGAAGCAACAGAAAGGGCTGTGCTCTGTCTTATCCAGGGTACAAGCTCTTGGTAGTTCCCCAAACCTTATTTACATGTTGAATGATTAAATGTCAGAAGGAAGATGATTGTATCTGGTGACACTATAACACGTATTTGAATTAAAAAGGCAGTCATTCTTTTCTGACAGGAGGTTGACTTAATAGATTAATTTGACAAAGAACACTGACTTTGACATGACGATATGTGACATCAAAAGAGCTAAAACCATCCTTCTGAGATTTTGAAAATATGTACAAAGAGCATACACTTAACAAACAATGAGGTGAAAATCTGTACGTGACGATAATTTAACTTTATGCCAAAATATTAGGTAACTTCAAAATGACTTCTTCAGGAGAAGATGGATTTAAAAGTATTTTGGAGGCTATTTGAACAAACATGTTTGAAGTCCATGAGCTAGAGGTTGTGTGCTGATGAAGGATGAATGCCTAGGAGTGGATGGTTCCTACTGACAGCCCAGCCAACAAAGGAAAAAGGGCAGGAGCAACAGGTCTGATTCAATAGCCTCTGTTGCCCCTACAAACTCAGTGGAGGATGAACTCCTGCCTCTCAGATAGTTCTGAGGATTGAGTGAGCAATGCAAATGAAGAGCAGGAAGTTAGCACCCATACATGATGACCATTTGCCAATATCAATAATAACAAATCTTGCTTGTAACATTTTTCCCTTCATATTTAACTTAGGTCTTAAATTATAGGTTTGCTTATTTAATTTTGAACCTTGTCCTTCTTCTATATTGGTTCCTCAAAAACATGTTCAATCTTTCCTCCTTCCTCTTTTTCCCTCTCTCTCACTTATCTTACTTTAAATCTTGCTCTAAATATTCTTTCTTCACCTTCCTCTTAAAATATTACCACCAACTCCACATATTCAGGTAGGAAAACCAGATCTTCTATTCCTGGATATAGGAGCTGAATGTTTCATCCCCTCCACAGGAAGCTGTAATCTTTAATCCTTCTTGTTCCCAATTCTAAATAATAGTCAAAGTAAATAAGTTTAGGAAAGATATGACCTTTGGGGAAAACTAGGTAAATAGTACATGGACCTTCTTGTACATTTGTTTGTAAAAAAAAGTTCCCTGTGAATCCATCACTATTTGAAAATTTAAAAACTTCAATTACTCAAGAAAAGTATTTCTGTATTTTCTTATCATCTTTGTATTTTTTACACTAATTTTTATAATGAACATATATTTTTATTGAAAAACAATTATTATAAAAATACATGCATATGATTACATTTCTTAAACATAAAATATTAAACTATAAATGCACTATAAAAATACTACATAACATTTTTATGGGGGGGGCTACTGGGGAAAGAAAGATTTCTCAATAAAAGAGGCTATAAAAGATAAGACTAACAAATCTTATTGTACAGCAAATTTTAAATCATTATAGGATATAAGTTAAAATACATGGTACAAAATAGAAGAAAATATTTGCTAACATACATTAAATAAAGAATTAAAGCTTGTAATATAAAGTCTATAAATCAATAGGAAAATATTTTTAAAGAAGAAAGCAAAAATAGGCAAAAAAAATACAAACAGGTAATTCACAAAAGAAGAAATACTGTCAACAGCCATTCAACCATTCTTATATTCAGAAAAAGACACAAATTAAACTAAGAGTATCATTTTTCTCTCAATGCACTGACAATATCTTAAAAGAGCAACAGCGCCTACAGTGTCATTGTCTATGTAGGGAAACAGAATCTTATCCATTACTGAAAGAATATGGTACATTTGGGAAGGGTGGTTTTATAGTAATCTCTCAAAATTAAGTATTTATTTGCATTTCTAAATATCTCTTTCATGGGAATACTTGCTTCTGAACCAAAACAAGTGTAACATACGCACTGCTCACTCGCATAGGACTTCCTTAGACAGAGGTATCTAGGTCCAGAGCATCTGTTTAGTCCACTCTTCATTGCTAGGTATACACAAGGGTTAAAGACCATGTCTGATCCCTCTTTCCTCAGAGGTGGACCCATTCTGTACAATGAACAGCCCAGTCCTTACAAACAGCCCATAGCTCATCAATGGTGCTGATGGACTAGGGACTGACTCCAGGAGCTCCCAGGACAGCTGCTGAAATTTCTGCAGTATTAAGAAAGAATCTCCCCTCTGCTCTCCCAAATCTGATTATAATATAATGTAACCACATTACATAACAATAAATATAATAAAACCACACATTCTGAAAGTATTGCTACTTTAATACATACATATGCAGTCAAATAGTCATTATTATTATTTTTTTATTTTATAATTTAACTCACAGTCGCCAATCAGTAAGTTGAGCCTGAAGCCAGCAAATCCGGTAGTAGTAGTAATGGGTGAGCAGGTATTGTGGTGCTTCCTTGAGCAAAACAATTGATCCTCCTTATTTGTACTATCTCCAAGAGCAAGAAAACGAATTCCAGAGGAAGCACGGAAGACTGCTTGGCTTCCCATAACCCTGTCTAGTTTATTTACAATTCCCTCCTTTTATCCTTCCTGCCTATCCAGATGATTTTCCTCTTTGTTTCCCAAACTAAATTCTGCTCACTGCCTTTAAGATGCTAACTACTTCACAAGCCTTCCTCTTTACTTCCACACAGAGAAAAGTCACCAAGTCTTACCTTTGTCGAATGATGCTAGGATTCGCTGTCACCAAGTGACTTTTGGATCCAACATCCCTAGTGTATTCACTTGACAAGGGAGGAAGGTTGCATCTAGGAATGCAAGAACACCCATTTTAGAATGATTTATATACTTTCAAATCAAGTCAGTTATGACAAAATAGGAACTTCAATTCTAACTCAATTCACAAACAAATATTTTTGCCACCTTCCCCTTTTAATAGTCATAAGATGACTACTTTACCTCAGTATCTTCAACATGCTGTCAAAAACCTAGTTGTGCTGTAGAAGAATGAGAATGCCAGCTTCACAGGTAAGTGATTTTCCAAAGGAAAGAGACAGTATCGAGAATGTATGTCTTCCATTTAAAATAAAGTATTCCTCAGATCATAGGGAAGGAAGTATTAGACTTGAAAGTAGGGCTCTAGAGGTAGATGACACAGGACCTACAATGTTCTCTGCTTACCCCATAAACCTCTGGGGACAGACAGAAATTATACTTGTCCATATTTTTCTTTCTTTTCCCAAAATATAAATTACAATAGCACATTCAGAGCAATGTACCATTATCTAAACCAATGACTTTTGTTATGTGGCCAACACATAGGTTGATTTGTAGTGAAGACATAAGGATTTGTCATCCAAAGAAGTGTGAAGATTTGGCGCCATCCTAGATCAATCAAGGAACAGAGTACAGTGGTGTTTTCTTGATGAGTGAAAACAGTCACCCACTCCCACCCCAAATCTTTTCCGGGGTCACATCTTGTGAATGTGAATAATGGAAGATATGACCACTTTCCATTCCAAATCCCATGGCTTTCTGCCCATGCAGAAATTAATTTAATTGCCTGGACTCAGTTCCTCCAGGACATAAAATTAGGATGACTTTCTTCTCTCATTAGATTATTGTAAGGACTAAAAGAATTGCATAGAGCCGGGCACCAGTGTCTCTCACCTGTAATCCCAGCTACTTGGGAGGCTGAGATCTGGAGGATCGTGGCTCCAGGCCACGCAAAAAAAGCTTGTGCAACTCCATCTCTAAGGAAGAAATCTGGGTGTGGTGGGGTGCACCTGTCATCCCAAGGATAATGGGAATCTTAAAATATGAGAATTGGGGTCCAGGTCAGCCTGGGCACAAAGTGAGACCCTATCACCAAAATAACCAGAGCAGATAGAGTTGGAGGTGTGGCTCAAGAGGTAGAGCATCTGACAAGCAAGCACGAAGCCTTGAGTTCAAGTCCCAGAACCATCAAATAAATAAAGTGTAGAAAGTCTCTAACTGAATGCCTCATGCATCAGAAATATCATAAAAATATAAGTAAATATTTATTTGCTATTTGTGAAAACCTCAAATGAGCCTATAGCTTCCATTAGATTTCTATTGTAACTGTGTCCTTCATTTCTCCTCTGCACCCATATGCTGTATTTCACTCTTCCCTCATCAGGGCATCTCTAACTTTCTGTTATTTCTGCAAACTAAGATATCATTTATTTACAGGCAAAGATATCTTACAACTATTGAGGGCTCTGCCAGCTACTAAATTTTCCCTACAAATGTGCCCCAGCAGATGGAACTGTCCATGCACCCAGTCAGCTGACTAGCACAAGTTCCCTGATTTTCTTTGACTTTTCCTATGACTCCTACCACATCAGGGCATCATAATCGGAAACTTGTCTCTGGTGACTTAGACTTTTCCTTTCATCTGCTCCTGGGTAAAACAAACTGGCTCTTATGGCCACCCCCGCAGGTCAATTGGTCAGCCAGCTGGAGCAAACACACTGGGCATTGTGGGAAGTCCGTCCCAGCACCCATGCTGGTGCAGCACCATGCCGGATGTGGTTTCCTGAGGACTCTTTGAGGTTGTGAACTCATGCATTAACACGGGGCTCATCCTCTGTACTATTACTCACCATGGTCTTGTGATATAACTGACCTTTGCAAAGTCAAAGACAACTTCCAAGCCAAAACACAGACAAAAATTTGAACGTCTCTTAAATAAGCTTTGACTTTGATTGCCCCTGGTGACAACCACGTTACACCAAAACTGAAAGCTCTAAATATCACTGGGGAGTGCTGTTCACCCAGTGAGCCATTATTTAAGAAAATGAGTTGGTTTTCATGTGTAAATATTTTGTTTATTCTGTGTGTTCTATGACTCCTATGTCTGGATCCCTTCATAAGTCAAAAAAAAACAAAACAAAAACTTGCAGGTGCTGGATATATCCTATCACAGAGGGAAAGGCCTGCAACAGAAATGATAATATTTTATGAATGCATTTCTGAAAAATAATGACAATATATTTTGGTGTGAATGTCTGCTCTACGTTCTTCTGGGTAAAACGGCTCCTCGAGAGCAAGTATCTTGGACACTCTCCTGTGTGTCTTTTCTTAGGAAGAGCACACTATAATTTTAGCTGCTCCGTTCCTAAATTGGTAATTGCATGGATTTACATAAAAGGCACATTTAATACAGTGAAATTGTTTCTAATAAGGAATAATTGTGTAGAAGTGTTTCAAACTTTGCATTATGGTTTGTTGGCATGATTAACAGATATTAACGGTTTAAGTGTCATAGTAACAGTGCTTATGATCATAAAGGAGGAATGAATAGTCTGAACTGAAGAGTGCGAGTGGGTGAGGAATGGGCTCGGGGAAAGGAAACTCTACATAGAAAAATTATAAAAATGACTTCAAAATTTTTATGTACATTTAAGTATGCAAATCATGCTCTTGACATAATTCAAAAAACACCAAAAAATGCTGGGTGTGGTGTCTGTAATCCAATAACTACTCAGGAGACAGAGATCAGGAGGATTGCAGTCAAAGCCAGCCTGGGGAAACAGTTCATGAGACCCTATTTTGAAAATATCCAACACAAAAATAGGACTGGTGGAGTGGCTCAGGTGAAGGCCCTGAGTTTAAGCCCCAATACTGCAAAAACAAACAAACAAACAAAAAACACCACAGGGACGATCCCCCACTGTGACCTGAGCCCACCAGCTTCTCCCTTAGATGTAATCGCTGTAACAGATTCCGTCTTATGGACCTTTCACCTTTCAGATAAACTGAACTCAACAGTATTGTTTTCAAAGTGTTGCTTTTGGTTAGAGAGCAAAAGCATACTTTGAAAAATGGGGAAGTGATTGTTAGCATTTTAGAAGATGTGTCTGAAAACCACTAAGCAAATGATGGAGCTGCTAGATCCTGGTCCTAGAAGACATCTTCAACTGCTTCTGTCACATCACTATGCACAGGTCAGGCTATTTTTAGGTCACCTTTCTCACTTTTTCTGTCCATGCACCATAGGGCCAGACACACCACGTTCTCTCTAATCTGTTTTCTCTAATCTCTCACTGAATGTCTCATTTCTAATATATGACAGTATCTCAATTTCCTAAATGTGTATTCAGCAACCATTTATAAATAGATCTGCAAATGGTCAAGTAAGAATCTAAAATCATTCATCGATATTTATTGCTCCTATATAGTTAAACATAAATAAGCCTCTTTTTAAATTTCAAATCTGTCATAAGAACTGCATTATTCTTGAAATTAAATCAAAGAAAGGCACATGCACACGGAGCTTTAGCAGTGAGGTTATCTCCCCAAATGCAGTCCTCACCTCCCTCATCATTCTATGAATCTCATGCTCAATACTGAGCCAGGCACTCTACTCAAAGGTACTCATTCATTCTGAACTTGAGTATATCAACAGCAGATTGTGTACACAGGCCAACCTAGTCCTGCTGATCTGGGATAAATATGGCATCACTAGGCAATCCTGGACAGTGCTTAGGCTGGTCTTCTCCATGTTAAATTGAAAATACTCATTTTTCTAAGGGTAGTCAATACCACACACTCAAGTCAGGAATAATTTTAAAAACCACACTTATTGTACTGCCTCCTTCTGCACTGAAATCACTGAACTTCTCCAAACCTGTGAGTTTAATACTACCCATTCCTTCAACTTACACTTGAGAGCAATTTGAAAACTTAAACTAAACTACAGAAACTCTGTTAGAATACTCAATGTACAGTACCCACCTACAATATACATTATAACATACAGGATTTAAACACCATAAAATCAGGGTTGCCACAACAGAAAGTCTGGCAGGATTGCTGTCTCCCTCCTCAAACAGATCAGAACCTGAACCCCAGCAAAGGTAAAATGACACTTTGTATGTCACAGAGCTGTCAATGGCAGGGGCTTGTTCCTCCCAGCCATGTTCTTCATTGGCACCCCATCTTCATCTAGTGCTGAAGCATTGGAGTGGAGGCCTGAAACTGGCCCAGGGCTTCCTCCCTTCTCGGCCATCCATGAACCCTCAGTGATTTTATTCACTCCTGTGGTTCAAGACCTCTCTCACCCCATGTCACACCATTCCTCCCACTTTTCATGATACTTCAGCAGCTCTTATTTTCCCCACATTAGAGCTATGGAAAAGGTTGTTTCTGTCTCAGAGTAGAATGGAGGGAGAACTCAGCCCAAACACCGCCCTCCCTCAGAGGCTCACTACCTGGGCCCGAATTTCCCCTTTACAACAAGCACATCAGGATATGAGACTGTAACAGAATTGTTCAACATACCATTTCCAGGACTAGTGTAAGGTCTGCTGTACAGCAGGTGCTCAGCTGTCAGATGTCATATTGACTTAAGAAGACTACTCTTAAATTTTTTTCCATTTTCCTATGGTTTGTACATATCCCAAAAAAAAAAATTACGGTGTAGAGAAAAACATTATCCTACACTTGAAAAGCTATGCTGGGGAAGGAAAAATAATCCTGTGGAGGAAAGTTAGGGAAAGAAGGACCCCCGCCCCCACTAGGCCACAGGCTTCACCAAGTAAGGTAGCAAATCTTTCTAGAACCCAGCCTCCTTCCTGAAAGACACATGGCCCTCCCTTAAGAAATGGCTTCCCTAAGATCATCCCTGTCTTCCCTCTCCCCTAGCCCACTCAACTTCAGGTGCTTCAGCATTCCCTTAGCTGTCTTTTGCCACTCCTAAACACTTATTTATCCTTAAAAATAAACACAAACACAAAAACTCCCTCCTCCTTTGCTCCATTTTCATTGCTGTCCTTAGCCTCCCTGACCTTTACCCTTTTAGCCCCTCGCTCATACTCATTCCCACTTCTGTAAGACTTTGGGGTCCACCTGAAAGCCCTCTCTAATCTAGTCTCAACATTCCCTCACTTTCTCAATAACAAATGTCTTCCTTTTGGGCGATGTTTCTGATCACTCTCCAGAGAAGCTAAACTGCGGTATTATTCCAATGGGCTGTTCATGACTTTAGCTCATCATTTAATCCTGTTTTGCCCACTGATCCGGCTCTGGATGGCCTGCCATGTGGCTCCCTTCTGTTCTCCTTCACACAGTGCACTCCTCTCCTGCCCAGGCTTCAGGGTGTGTGATCTCTCAAGCTCTCCACTCAGAGCTCTCCTGTTGTCACCTCTGTCCTTTCCTCTTACCCAGATAACCTGCAGCCTGCACAAATGCAATCACTGTCTTTGCTTCTTCTGTTCCTGGCTGCTAACCACATGTGCTCAAACTCATCCAGTGGTGCAGACTGGCACTCTACAGCCCGCTGCTCTCCTCCCCTGGTGGGTGGGATTGCTTTAGCAATTCCTTATCACGCCCCTGCAGGGACCTCCTGCTCTCCTGGGCTGACATCTGCCCAAGGCCTTTACCAACCTTCCTCCTTGTTTGAAGGTTACTACCGCCCTCCTTCTTCCCAATTTTCCTAGTCAAGCATAGACCAAATCCCTCTTCGAATCCCACTTGCTACTTTCAGATGCTTTTGTGACAAGCTAAGAAGAAAAGGGCATAGCATAAAATGAATAAAATAAAATGTTTATTCATACGGAGGTAGCCTTCTTAAGAAAAGTGCAATTTAAAAGTTTTAATCACCCTTCTGTCTAATCTAAAAGAAGATCTGAGTTTCCTCATTTCTCTGCTGGCCTGATTAGTAGCAGAGAGGGGACGGGCTACTGAGGAGCCTTGGCTTTGTATCCGATCAGGGCAGGTTCCCTGGCTCCCTGGGGCTCTTCCACCCCCACCCCCCTTGTATGAGAGCTAAGGAGCTGGCTAGAAGGGATTAATGACAAGTGACCTGTTCTGAAAGGCTCCAGGCTTCTGGGAGGGTGGGGAAAGGACAGAGGCAGAGGCCGCGGTGGTTCTGGTTCTTACCGCATGACAAAATTTGCTTCATCTATTTGACGGCCACAGCCACTCTTCTTCAGAATGCCACCATTGCCCACCACCGCACATTTCTTCAATGGCAACTGGAAGGGGGTTGCCTAGCAACAGAAAACAAGGCGGGTTTTCACTGCACAGAACACACAACCGCTCACAAAGTCATTGTTTATAGCAGAGCCTGTGGAGGAATTTGAATGAGGACTGGACTAGGCAGAAAAAAAAAAACACGTGCAAAGAAAGATGCCAAGAAGTCTGTGAGAACAAACTAGCCTATCCTTTGAAATTAAAAATCAAAACAAAACAAAGACACCCTCCCTGAAGTGTATTGAAATATAACAGCATTTTTTTTTCTTTCTCAATTTGGCCAAGCACGCAGTAGAGGGTGTTTGCGAGGGAAAACAGAAAAGTCCAAACTAAACACAGGATTATTTTTAAAGGCATTAATCTGGGAACAAAATCAAATGAATTAAATTCCTCTCTGTGACTGCAATTTCATTCACTCATACTGTCACTCACTCAACAAGGGTTTCTAAGCATTTCCTGCCTTGACTGCTGGGGACAGATGCAAGGATGCAGAAGTCTCAAGCCTCAGGATTCTACAGGTTGGGGTGTAAGGAATGAGTAGGGAGAGGAGAGGATGACCACCATACTTGGGCAACAATCAGAACTGTCATGCTGACCTTGCTACAGCAGAGTCCAGCACCAACTGCAATGGGGAAGCCTGCACACGGGAGCAAGGAGACCCCTCTGTCCCATCCCCTCGACTCAAGGAGAGCTTTGACACTTGAGATGCACCTTAAGAGGAAGTAGGATTTTGCAAGGCAGAGGAAGCAGCATAAATAAGGGCACAAAAGTGTTTGCAGAGAGCAAATGAACACTGGGTGGTTCAGTCTGGAATGCAGGAGGCATCTCAGAGGCAAGGGACTTGTGTCAAACCAGGCAGCATGTGACTTTCTTCTGCAGACAATGAACAGGACTGCAAAGAAAATGTGCTGTGTACCAGTGTTTCCTGAGGAGCTATTTATAATAACAGGGAATATGGAGACCCAGGAATAGCTCCTGTACGTGAAAGGCAGCATTTGGCCTTTTCTAGCTAGGTCAGCAAGAAATACTGGGTACAGAATCTCATCTCTGTTAAAATAATGCACAGCAGTTAGAGGATGTGAGGGGAGCCCTTCCATGGATATAACTGGTAAACAAAATAACTATACTAAAATTAAGTAGACTTCCCCGGATGAATCTCAAATAATATGGACCATGCCAAATGAATACATGGAATTAATACATGCACTAGAAGTTCTCATGTAGACGTGGAGTTATAAAACCAGGAGAAAAAAACACATTCCAGGAGCTTCTGTGTTCGTCGATAGCTGAGGCACTTAATTCAGCATGAGAAGGTTTTGTTCCCTGGATTTCTAGTATGTAAGAGGGTAGCCTGAGGCATAAGAATATTGTTGTCAAAGAAGCAGTAAATGGTTGTGTGCGAGCATTTGTCAGAGGGGAGCTAAGAGTTCCCTGCATCACTATAGCAGTGATCAGTCTAACAAACTCCAGAGCAGGATGCACCAGGGAGGGACAAGCCAGGAATGACATTCTAACACATGCAGAACAATACATGCCATTTTTCTCAGTCACTCCCAAGAGAAAGGTTTAGAATCAAAAATAGTCAGATCTGTAATTTATTACATAAAGACTTAAGTATCCATGCTGATGTCATAATTTATTCCAATAGTACTTATGAAGTGTCTACTATGTGTCAGGCACCGTCCTGAGGGACAGGGACACAAGTGAAAATCCAGTAACCCTGGGGCTTATATTCTGGTGGGAGAAGCAGGTAAGAACTAAAGACACATGAGAGGAAGTGTGTTAGATGGTGCCATGGGCTCTAGAGAGAACGAAAGCCTTGTCATAAGGGTCTCAGGAAATGCTTCTGGAGAGGGACTGCTGTTTGAACAGGGTGATGGAGGAAAATGTGCCTGTCAGCAAACCCCTGAAGAGAGGAGGAAGTGAGCCAATTACCTTCGTGTGAGCCACTGGTGTCAAGGCCTCCAGGAGGGGATAGGAAGGAGCCCTTTAGATCTGGAGAGAGAAGTAGGAGAGACTACTGAGCTAGCTGGTGGGAGGAGGGAGAACAAAGTCTGAACAGCTCTGTAGGCTGGTTTTTATTTTGAGAATCAGTCAATGTAGATGAGCAAAGGAGGGACATTATTGCCTCTTGTAGCAATCACTGCCACTGTGTGAACAGGTATAGGGTTTCATGGGCAGAAAGGGAGACCAGTGAGGAGGCTTTTGCAACAATGCAGACTAGGGACTCTGCTGAGGTAGACTAGGGTGACAGTAGGTGACCCGGAGGGAGGAAGAGCCAACCAGATTTGCTGATGCCGTGGAAACAGGATAAGAGAGGAGGGAGGAATAGAAAGGGCTGGGATGAACTACCACTTCCTGAGATTTGAAGTCACAGCAGGAGCACATGTGGAAAGGATTTCGGATCTAGTCTGAGAGTCGAATGTGTCATACCTGGTTGACATCCAAGTGGCAATGTCAAGTAACAACTGAACATGTCACCAATGAGCTGGTCCTTAATGTAGACAGAAGAGACCTTAGAAAGGCTCCAGTAAAAGAAGTTTAAAATGTACCAAATGCAGTTGATAGATTAAGGACAAAAATGGCTGAATATCCCCACAGGATCCATGGAATGCCTTTACAAGGATTTGGTTCTATAATTGGGGCAAATGCCTTGATCCCATTCAGTGAGTTAAACAGGTATGTGTGCATAGCTATTCGTATATAGTTTGCTTGCAAAATGTGCATTCATGAATCCTCAACTGATACTTAGTTAGATTTAAAAAACCAACTTACAGCCCCCTTAATTGTTGTTAAAGAGAGGTCTTTGAAGCTGGGGGCCTGGCCACTCCACATTTCCAGGCAAAATTCTGGGCCCAGGACAAGGCAACACAGAGCCAGGAACAAGCATTGCCTCATAATTCTTAAATTATGGGATTATGGGACTGGGGCAGCTGTCACATGCTCTGTGCTGTGAGGGGGACATTACCACACAGGATTATGTGATCTCCAGGAAGCAGCTCACTGGGCTGCTGATGGGGCAGCCACCCTCTTCCTTTCCTTTCTTTCACTCTTTTCCTCATCCTAGCACAGTTCAAGGACTTGTCCAAAACATGAAATGCCAGACTTCACGGACATTTCACGTCTTATTCCACAAGAATAAGACAAAATAGTGATTTTTCTAACTCAATTCTAACAATGAGTTACAAAATTGGGAGTAATTTTATTAGCAGAAATTTAACTCTTATGCACTATTAACATCTCCCTCCCGAAACCCTCAAAAGTTCAGGTTTTTGGTTTGGTTTTGGTGGTACTGGTGTTTGAACTCAGGGCTTCATACTTGTTGGGGCAGGCACTACTTGAGCCACATCTCCAGCCCTTTTGATTTGGTTATTGTGGAGATGGGGGTCTTGCTTTTTGCCCAGGCTGCCCTGTACCACGATAGTCCTATTTAGGTTTTCCATTGTAGCTGGGATGACAAGTGCATGTTACTTTTTCTGTCTTGTTCTTTGAGATAGGGTCTAACTTTTTTGCCCAGAAAAGACTCAAAACGTGATTCTCCTATCCCTACCTTTTGCATAGCTGGGATTATAGATATGTACCACCATGCCCAGCCTCACATGCTATCTTTTCAAATGTACCCCTGCACAAACATATCTACTGGATCTGAGCATAGAGAATACTATAAAATTTCTGCTAATCTTAAAAAAAATTCTGAATGTAAGGATCAATTAGGATAGATTAAACAGACTACATATAGTGATGAGCTCCAAATTGTTTTCAACTCTTGCTAAGGCACTAACAGGTCATATGGATTAAACTTTTTCATCTCTAACTATTTCTTTGATAATGTTACTGACCATCTTCTAATGACCATATTATATTAACCATGGGATTCAGATCCTGATTTCTTTTTTGTTGGTGGGACTGGGGATTGAACTCAGGGTTTCATGCTTGCAAAGCAGGTGCTCTAACACTCAAGCCACACCTCCAGTCCATTTTGCTCTGGTTGTTTTGGAGATGGGGTCTCATGAACTATTTGCCTCAAACTATGATGCTCCCAATCTCAGCCTCCCAAGTAGCTGGGATTACAGATGTGAGCCCCTCAACCTCTACTGCCTTACTAAAAATCATGAATGTTCCATCTATCTCTGAGTGGGGTTATGAGAATTAAAATAGGGTGAAGGCACTGAATATCACCAGGGAACTCTGAAGTCCTCTATGAACATATGATATTAGTACATTCAGTACTGGCAAAACTAAATTCCTAGCATGGAAAACTGTCACCATATCAATAATCTAGTATAATGTGTAGTTTTGTGTAAGATAGTTTTCATTTTGAAGAATTACATAGACTTTGAACAAAATATTGTCTTTGATCAGTTGGCACTTTTGAGTATATATCTACTAATCTTATAAAACTATGAGATTAAAAATGCACATTTTTGTATGATCAAGAGTACCATAGCTTTTTTCTCAACATTCTTTCCAAACTAAGCACAGAATAGATGTCAAACGATTTGCTCAATTCATTAAGTATTTAATCCACAGGCTTTCATTAAACATCAGACCTATTTTCAGCAGTGTCTGGGCCTCAAGTGGCATTTCCTGCTGCTGTAATGGACATGTAAATTAATCTACAAACTTGAAGAACTAGCATGAGCCCCATCACTCACTAAAATACAAGCTCATGACCGTATACTGTCTTCCACAGCCTGCATCACCTGTGTTTCTCCAATACCTAACTTACCTGTTCAACACTATTTTTTGAGCACCTGTTATGGCCCACAAACTGTGATGAAATCAGTGAAGGAAGTACTCCACACGTTGCTGCAGTGCAACAGGACAAAACAGAATTTAACAAACATAGGAAAGTATGGAGTGTTACAGGTTTAGGGAAAATCTCTCTAAGGAAGAGTCACTAAGCTAACATTGAAGTTTTGAGCAGTGAGAAAAGAAGCCGAGATTTCTGGTCTATTAGATAATCTTCAGAAGGCTAAAAGCAAAAAAAACTTAGACTCATGCCTTATGGCATGGA